TGGCAGGGTCATCTCGGGGCAGCCACTAGATGGGGCCAGGCCCTGGCCACACTGCGCACGTGTCCAGCCGTGCTGAGCCTGTCCAGGGTGCTGCCTGCACATGCCCCATGGTGACACGTGTGTCCCGCCACGCTGCACTCATGCAACCACACCGAGCCTGCCCACGGTGCTGCCCGCACACATGCCATGGTGACACGTGTGTCCCACCGCGCTGTGCATGCCCGTGGTGCTTCTCGCACTCCTCCACTCCACTCCTCACACTCACTGCCATGTCCCACAAGGCTACGGGTGTCCTGTCCTGCTACCTGTGTCCCGCACAGTGCCGCACACTCCGGGCAATGCTGCCCATGTCCCGCACGGTGCCGCACACGCCAGTACCGCACAGCACCGACACTGACTGCACTCCCGGCAGGAGCAGCCTGGAGGCGGCCGAGGGGCTCTACGAGCAGCTGGAGGAGGAGAGGCACGAGCTGGTGTCCACGTCCAACAGCTGCCTGCAGCGCCTGGAGATCCTGCGCAAGGCCGGGGAGCTGGAGGCCGAGCTCCGTGAGGTGAGCGGGGCCCAGTCCTTCTTGCTCTACAGCCCCTTGCAGAGCACCAAACGAAACCTGCCCCTTTCCAGTGCTTTTGATGGTAAAGGAAACCCAGGGAATGGCAGAGGTGCCTGGAGCTTTGATTTTAATTATGGGGCTGCTGGGTGCAAGCATGCCAGAGATCAAGATAGCCCAGGGGAAGGAAAGGGAGTTCCTGAGGAAGCCAGCTGCGGATCACGCTCCGATGGGAACCCCTTGCTCCCCTTCCTGTGCAGCTCGGGCGCTGGCTGGACGGCGAAGCAGCGGCTCAGCTGGAGGAGCTGGGTGCCCGGTGCAGCCCTGATGGCTCTGGAGAGCCCTCCAAGTGCGCTGAGGAGCTCCTCGTTCAGGCAACGGTATGTTAGGAGGAGGGTTTCTGTGACCACTGTCCCCAGGGCATCCCCACCACAAGAGCTGCTTCGTGGTTCAGGCTCCCTGCCAAGCACTGAGCGGAAAGACGAAAATGCAGGATCAGGAGTGTCATTGCGAGTCTCCATGCTGCCGGCCCCAGCCCCCAGATTTGGTTGGCAACAGGTCTTTCCTGCCGGCCGCCCAGGTCGAGCGGCAGCTCTGGGGGCCCCCCGAGGGCTGGGGTCGCCCGTGGGGGTGAACCACGGCCCATGGGGCTATGGTGGTGGCTCCGCAGAGCTGGGGACCCCCATCTGCTTCGCATCTCCTCACGCACCCAGGGGGATGCTCTGGGTGCAGCCCAGGACGGCAGCACGGCTGCTGATGGGGATGCCCCGGCCGTGTCTTGCAGGTCACAGGACTTGGCGCAGAGAAAAGGGAGAGCCCGGCTGGGAGCGTGGAGGATCCGCAGGGCCCGCGTGGCACCTTCCAGACGCTCCCGCTGGACGTCTCCCTGTCGCAGCTGCAGGAGATGGTGGCCCAGGTGCGGGGCGCGCG